CCTGCTTCCACTGAGGCAGAGCTCTGCAGAGCTGACTCCTCTTTGGATGTGCCCTTCTTCAGATGACCTTGGCTTTCACCTTCCCCTAGGGACAGTGTGCCCATCAACCTAGCCCAGGATAGATGTACTCTGGCATGTGAGCCAGAGTGCAATTTAATTCATCAAAAGGACTATTTGCCATGAAGAACGAATGTGTGTGTGTGTGTGTGTGTGTGTGTTTTCTTATTTTTTTGTGTGCCAGTACTGGGGCTTGAATTCAGGGCTAAGTCCTCTCTTAGGTTTTTACTGGTGCTCTACCAGTTGAGACACACCTCCACTTCTGGCTTTTTGGTGGTCAATTAGAGATAAAGAGTCTCATGGACTTTCCTGTCCAGGTTAGCTTGGAACAGGGATCCTCAGCTCTCAGCCTCCTGAGTAGCTAGGATTACAGGCCACTGAGTCATGGTGAAGAGAGGAGCATAGGCCCCAGGGTGCCTCTGGTGTTTACAACCATAGATGAATACAAATTCTGTTATGCAGGATGGCTTTCCTCATGGGGGATGCTCAGGTCTCTGGTAGCCTTCTTTCTCTACTTGCAGAACTGCCCTTGAAATTGGCCCTCTATTTCACAAAGTCTGAGTCTCAATGCTATTGACATTTCAAGCTTTATAACCAAAAAGTTTCCATCCCCACTTCAGGAGACTGGCTTGGTCATGTGTTGGGATAACCAAAAATGTGTCTACACTTTCCAGATTGTCTTCTCAGGGAGCAGCCTATTCTCTTTCCCACTCCTGCCTAGCTGAGAACCCCTGCTTTGTTCTCCCTAAGAAGTGAGAGCAGTTGTATGATATCAGAGCAACTAGACTTCTGCAGCAGGTGGAAGCTGCGTTTTCATTCTTTGAGCCTAGAAGTAGGACTCCCACGTAGAGGATTCCCACTTGGCGGTTTGTTGTTTGTATTCCTTTAATTTTCCTTGGTTTCTTTGCCCTTTGTGTTGCTTTATTTTCCTTAGGTTCTCCACATTTCCTCCCCAGTTTCCTTCACTCCTAAAAGGCCATTCATTGTCTTCCTAACGTTCCCTGAATGCTTTGCAATTTCAACCTTCCTGTTTCTTTCTCTTATTTACCTACATGATGGTGGTAGGGAGAAGTGGTGACTGGTGAGTTTGAGTCTTAGTTTTCTAACAAGGTTTGGATTCTGAGTGCTGGTGACTGAGTTGATAGCCACCTTTAGAGGATAAGAAGAGTAAGATGGATGGAGGAGGGTGGGTAACTGGGCCAGCATGGCTTACTTAGGTCTGAGTCAGAAAAGAAAGACGTGTATAGGATGGGGACAGTGAGTAAAGGACCACACAGCTCTTTGTCTCTCAAGTCCTCTTGGCTAGCTGGGTAATAAAGGATATTGGTACTTGTTAGTGTCCCCAAAATATTGCAGCAGGAGGCTAGAGATACTTGTTTACTTGATTAAATTATTTATTTTGGGTTCTCACTGGGACTTGAGCTTTTTTCTTTCAGGCTGGGGCTTGAGCTTTTTTCCTTTCAAATCTGGTACTCTACCACTTGAGGTATACCTTTACTTCTGGCTCCTGGCTTTTTGCTGATTATTTGGAGCTAAGAGTTTCATGGACTTTTCTGTCCAGGCTGGCTTTGAACTGTGATTCTCAAACCTTACCTTCCTAAATAGTTAAGATTATAAGCATAAGGCACCAGCACCTGGTCCCCTGTTTGTATAAATCTTTACCCAGTTTGCCTGAGGAGATTTGTGTCCTAACCTAGCCAAATTCTTTTCTTATGTAATGACATGCCTTTGTGTTTACCTGTGTCTCTGGCTGTTGCAACTGATGGCTGTATCCCTGGGCTGGTGATTAGCTGAGCTTCCCCAAGTAGGCTTCTCCCTCCCTCCCTCCCTCCCTCCCTGCCTCCCTCCCTCCCTCCCTCCCTCCCTCCCTCCCTCCCTCTCTCTTTCCCTCCCTCCTTTCCCTCCCTCCCTCTCTCCCTCCCTCCCTCCCTTCCTCCCTTCCTTCCTTCCTTCCTTCCTTCCTTCCTTCCTTCCTTCCTTCCTTCCTTCCTTCCTTCTTTCCTTCCTTCTGTCCTCTGAACCTTTTCATTTTCGGTTCGAAATTGGCATAGTTTAGGATTCTGGTGTTCAGTGGTTCTGAAGTCCTTTGTGAGCCATTTTTTTCCCATGCTGCTACACACAATTAGCCTTGATTTTGAAGTGTAATGCATTTCCAAATAATTGTATATATGTGTGTATGTGTGTGTGTTTGCATGAGTATGCACGTGTGCACGAGTGTGTGTTTGGGCTCTTTAACCAAAATGTATAACCACAGGTGGCTTTTCCCTGGGCCCTTCATGAATCCTGTGGCTTGGGAATAGAGTCCGTTGAAAGGTTTGGGGCAGACTGCACATTTTTTGGTTAAGCAAGATGTGTGAGGGCTGGGAAGGTGGTTCAGTGGTAGAGTGCTTGCCTTGCATGCCTGAGGCCTGGGTTCGATTCCTCAGCACCACATAAGGAAAAAGAAAAAAAAGCCAAAGTGGCGGTGTGGCTCAAGTGGTAGAGCGCTAGCCTTGAGCTGAAGAGCTGAGGGACAGTGTCCAGGCCCAGAATTCAGGCCCCACGACCGGACCCCCCTAACCCCCCCCAAAAAAGCGTGAATTCCAATAAGCCTTGGTAGGATGGTTTCTCCATAAATCCTGCCCACCCTGATCCATGCTGCCTCACCATGGCCCAGACTTTTCCAGTGGATTCATGGTCTAGTTCTTTCAGTGGAAAGTCGCCACTTAACTTCTTGAACATTTTTGACTTGGGGGAATGAGACTCTTTCTTCCATTGCTACATGATAAGTAGGTGCTGGCTGTGTCAGATGCACACATCTACACACATTCAAGCAGTTATACTTTCAATGGAAGGTGGTCAGCAGCAGAGAAACAATTCTGCTAGCCACCGAATCCCATTTTCTCTGGTGTGTGTCACTTTTACAGTAAGTTGGCTCAACTCTCATCCATCAAAGCTTTGGCCGAGAACTGGGTGTGTTGTTATCACATCTGGCCTTCACTTATGTCCAGTGACAGACTCTTTAGAAGTGCTTTCTCAGTTTCATTCCTCAGCTGAACCTGTTCTAGAAACCTTCCCTCCATTCTGATGGGAGAAACACGACAATGCTTTATTTCTTCTAGGTGTTGGGGTTGTAGGTGATGATAATGTGCAAACCCAGCATGCATAAGGCCTTACTATTTCAGGCCCTCCAAGGCTGTAGTAGGGAGGAAAAGGAAAACAAGAAAAAAGAATTGGGAAGCATATAGTGTATCTTGGCAGTACTTAAGGCTTGGACCTCACTGTTAATAGATTGATGCTCCACCAGTTGAGTCATGCCATTAGCCAAACTTTTTGCTGGTTATTTTGGGAGAAGGCATTTCCTAGACTTTTCTGCTTATGCTTGCTTTGAACTGGGATCCTCCAGCTCTCAGACTCCCAAATAGCAAAAACTCTCAGTCACTATTGGGTGACAGATGGTCTTAGAAGCTTCTTGTGGGTATGCTACAAGGAGGTTATCACACACACACACACACACACACACACACACACACACAATCTAAAATGAAGAACAAAGACTAGTCTGGTGTAATCTGATCTTCATGTGGATAACGGCAGGGACAAGTGTGACTTGGGAACTACTGCTTAGATAGAAGCCTGGCCACTAACGTGCTAGTCCTGCAAAACAAACTGTTTTGAGGCTGAAAACACGGCTTTGGAAACAGAAGGTTTAAGGATTAGCTATGGATTTTGTAAGTTATGAAAACTTACTGAAGCAGTTAAGTAATTTTGATACAATATTCTAAATCCAAATATTTTCCAATTGAATTCACTTTTTAGGTTTATGGAATACAGGGAATAGAGCCAGTTTGCTCATCGTAATCAAAATTTCTTTTTTTTAATTTATTTTATTTTATTTGTGAACATACTGTACAGAGGGGTTACAATTACAAGGGCAGGATAATGCGTACATTTCTTACCAAGCATTATTTACCCTTTGTTTACCCTTCACATCCCTTCCCAGCCTCCCCCCTCCCCCGTAATCAAAATTTCTTTGAGGCCTTTTCTTTCCCCCAGGTGAAAGGCAAATTTCCCAGTGAGTCTACAGAAAGCTAGCTATGTATTATGCAGGGTGCCCCAGGCCTTGAAGAGCTGGCAAGGTAGGCAGGAATATTTTTGTGTGAGCTAGGCAAATGTTCACAAACATGATCACTGGGAAAGACTTCTGACTGAATTTACTGGTCAGACAATGAGCTCATGTCATCCTGAGGGCTTTATGCAGGCAGAGATAAAGCGGTGGGACTAGATGAGTGTGATCTGTGTGGGAGCTTTGCTCAGGGTTGGCTCTTGGAGAGAGGGCACAATAGCTCACCTATTTGGTACAACAGCCATGGAGATGGCTGTGGTACTGGTGTCTGGTTTATCATCTGCAGGCTACACAGTGTTCTTCCAAGTCGAACCTCCCGTGATTCCCAAGAGACTGATTCTGTGCAGAGTGGAGTGACAGCTTTTGTGTATCTGTCAGCTTGTGGCAGGAGCTGTTTAGAGCCACTGAGACATGGTACATGTGGTAGGAGATAGGGAACATGCTGATGGATTCAAGCTCTCCTTAAAAATATTTTGCTTTATGTCAGGTGCTGTGGCTCATGCCTGTAATTGTAGATACTCAGGAGGGTGAGATTGGAGGATCATGGTTCAAAGCCAGCCAGGGCTATAGAGTCCATGAGACTATCATCTCCAGTTAACCACCAGACAATTAGAAGTGGAGCTGTGGCTCCAAGTGGTGTAGATCACTAGCCTTGAGTACAAAAGCTCAGGGGCAGTGCCTAGGCCCTGAGTTCAAGCCCAGGGACACTCTCCCCCCCCCCCCCCCATTACACACACATGAGTAAATCTAGACTTTTTTTGTTTATTTAACAGAGATCTACTGAGTCTCTGATTAGATTTGATTAGCCCCTACATACTGTGGTAGCCAAGACCAAAGGATGGAAGGTGAGGAAGTCATTGAGATGAATTAAGATGCCTTGTTCTCAAGAAGAACAGGGACAAGAAGAAAAGGGAGAGATAAAAAGTCCTCCCGGGTGAGTCAGTTATTGTACTAAGTACAGTTAGAACAGTTCCATCTCTCTGGGAAGGGCTTGGGAGGATTGCTCTGCTATGAGCAATATCTCACTGTGGCAAGGGGGGCAGAAAGAAGGACAGGGACATTACAATCGAGCAAATGGCATAAGTATGGTGAAGGGACTTTTCCATTTTTTCTTTTTCCTATGAGAAGTATGTATAAAACAGGATTTCTTGGGACCAAACGGTACGAGGTTCTGGTCAGACTTAGAGATTTCAATGTTCTAATCTTCATTGAAAATCATGTTGAATTTTACAACAGAGAGGCATAAGCGCAATTGGGGAGGGGGTGGTGGGAGCAATTTTGTCGAATCACAGTTGGCATGGGATTGGAGCGAATGAGAGCAACAAGGTGCAGGGTTGTTTTCAGGGATCTGCTGATGGAATCCTGAGAACAAAGGTGGTAGGAAGAGTCTGGGAATGAGCATGGAAGATGCGCCTATGGAAGGAGTGATGAGGAGACTTGGTGTCTTGTAAATGTAAAACAAGAGTTGATGATGTTTTCTGGAAATGTGCCTGGGTATCATCATTTGTAGGCGAGTTGAGAAGCTCATGGAAGTTAAGTTTGTGTTGATTGAACAATGTCATCAGCAACTTATGGAAGCCATTACTGGAGATGGGCTGGTGCTCAGAAAGGCCCTGGGGTTGGGGAAGCAGAAGAAAAGCTCCTGGGCTCCATTTTGTGTGTGTGTGTGTGTGTTTGTGTGTGTGTACTGTAATGGTCATCCCATGTTGAGATGAGAGAGGCAGGAGATCAGATAACAAGACAAGGGATGGGGAGATTGAAGATAGAAGTAGAAGTCCATGCTTCTCTTGGGCTGCAGTGTAGACACAGAGAGCCAGTGAAGGTGTTGGGGTGAGGTGGGGAGGTGGGAGAACCTCTGTACTACTAGGGCATATGGAGGCCCAGGGAACTGGGTGTGATGACTTATGCTTGTACATTTCATCAGTTAATGGAGGAGCATTCAAATGCTCTAACAGTGAGATGTTTAAGAGTGTTGGGAACCACAACCACAGACTTAGAATAATGCAATGAGATCCACGACCTGATTGATGAAAGAAGACAAGAATGGATATCCAGGGTGAGATCTGCAAACATTGCTGGCATTAGGGTCTGGGTGGTTGAGGAACTCACATTGATTTGAGCAGATAGAAGTACCAGAAAATGGACCCTAAAGCCAAGCTCTGTCCGTACAGTCATTTTATTTTATATATTTTTTTGTCAGTAGTGGGGCTTGAACTCTAGGCCTGAGCGCTGTCCCTCAGCTCTTCAACTCAAGGCTAGCACTCTACCACTTGAGCTACAGTGCCGTGGCTCATGCCTGTAATCCTAGCTACTCAGGAGGCTTAAATCTGAGGATCATGGTTGACAGCCAGCCCAGGCAGGAAAGTCCATGAAACTCTTATCTCCAATAAACTGCCAGAAAACCGGAAGTGGCACTACAGTCATTTTAATTGGCTAGGCTCCATGGTCCTTATGTAATAGTCATTGGCTAGGTTGCATGGTCCTTATATAACAGTCATTTTAATTGGCTAAGCTGATGGTGGACATTCAGGTAGCTGCCATTCCTTGTGGCCTTGAGTTTTTTCTTTAATCTTTCTATATTGAGTCTCTAAGCTTTGTATTTTGGTGGTTTTTGTTCATGTCATATATCCACGCTCAGAATATTCTAGATACAATGGAACCCCAGAGATATCTGCCTCTTTTTTGGTACATTTTTATTGTAAAAATACTGTACAAAGGGGTTACAGTTACATGAGCAAGGTAATGAGTATATATTCTATTGAGCATTGTTTCCTCCTCCTTTGTTTTTCCCCTTCCATCCCTTTCCTCCAACCTCCCCAACTATTTCCCCCCCCCCCCCACCCTGCCGAAGTTGTAGTTTGTTTTCAACATAGTGTCTCGTATATCTCATTGGTACAGTGGGTCAACCTGTATCCCTATTTAAGCATTTTGTTTTTTCCTTTCCCCTCCCCAAATTAGAGAAGTGTATATGCAAGATGCAGGGCACCGGAATCAAATACAGTGAAAACAGGAGTTATACCATGGGGAAGGCGCATACAAAAAACAAAAAAAAAAAATCACATAGTACATTATAAATACGTTAGAAACAATAGCAAGCAAGAAAAAAAAAATTGTGTCCCTATCTTGGGGTCCCTATTTCGCTTAACATCATCTCATGTGTTCATATGTATATAGCTTTTGATCTTTTCTGCTTGTCCTAGAAATGTATTAATTATTGCAAATAAGGGAAACCATGGGACCTATGGTTCTTTGTGCTTTAGTATAATTTTTTCCAAGTCTTTCTATTTCCCCCAAAATGGGGAAATGTCATTCTTTCTGATGGAGGCATAGAATTCCATTGTGCATACATACATATACACACACACACACACACAACACACACACACAGACATACACATATATACATCTATATGTACATATAGCTATACATCTATATGTACATATAGATGTATATCACATTTTCTTGATCTGTTCATCCACTGAGGGGCATCTGGGTTGGTTCCATATCTTAGCTATGGTAAATAATGCTGCAATAAACATAGTTGTGCTCGTAGCCTTAGTATGGCCTTGTTTGGGTAAATGCCCCAAAGTGGGATTGCTGGGTCATAGGGGAGCTCTATGTAGTCTTTTGAGGAACCTCCATACTGCTTTCCCCAGTGGTTGAAAATGTTTACTCTCCCACCAACAATGCAGTAGGGTTCCCTTCTAGCCACATCCCCTCCAGCATCTGTTGTTATTAGAGTTCTTGATTATAGCCATTCTAACTGGGGTGAGGTGGAGTCTCAATGTTGTTTTGATTTGCATTTCTTTTATGGCTAGAGAAGTTGAGCATTTCTTCATGTGTGTATTGGCCATTCTTTTTTTTTTTTGTTGGTCGTGGGGCTTGAACTCTGGGCCTGGGCGCTGTCCCTCAGCTCTTCAGCTCAAGGCGAGCGTTCTACCACTTGAGCTACAGCGCCACTTCCGGTTTTCTGGTGGTTTATTGGAGATAGGAGTCTCACGGTCTCTCCTGCCCGGGCTGGCTTTGAACCGTGATCCTCAGATCTCAGCCTCCTGAGTAGCTAGGATTACAGGCGTGAGCCACCAGCGCCCGGCTAAAACCTTTTTTTTTTTTTTTTTTTTTGTCAGTCAAGGGGCTTGAACTCGGCCTGGGCGTTGTCCCTCAGCTCTTCAGCTCAAGGTGAGTGCTCTACCACTTGAGCTACAGCGCCACTTCCTGGCCATTCTTATTTCCTCTTCAGAGACGTTTTTCTTTAAGTCTTTTTTTTTTTTTTTTTGCTGGTCGTGGACCTGAACTCTGGGCCTAGTTGCTGTCCTTCAGGTCTTCAGCTCAAGCTAGCGTTCCACCACTTGAGCCACAGCACCACTTCTGGCTTTTTCTGTATATGTGGTGCTGAGGAATCGAACCAGGGGCCTCATGCATGCAAGGCAAGCGCTCTACTACTGAGCCTCCTTCCCAGCCCTTTCTTTAAGTCTTTTTTTTTTTTTTTGGTCCAGTTGTGGGGCCTGACCTCTGGGCTTGGGCACTGTCCCTCAGCTCTTCAGCTCAAGGCTAGCGCTCTACCACTTGAGCCACAGTTCCACTTCCAGCTTTTTTCTATTTGCTTATGTGATGCTGAGGAACCGAACCCAAGGCCTCATGCATGCAAGGCAAGCGCTCTACCACTGAGCCACCTTCCCAGCCCCCTTTTCTTTAAGTCTTTAGTCCCTGATTTATCTGACAGTTGTTTTTTGGTAGATTTGTTGTTGGGGGATTTACATCTGTCTTTTTTAAGTTGATTCTGTATCTCTGAATCAGACTTTAATTAAAACTCACAGTATGCCTGGGAAGCCTCACCTAAAAAACTAAATTGGGGAGAACAATGGCGTTCAAACTTGTGTCCTACCTCAGTGACAGTCTCCTCTTCTGATCTGTGGCTTCCATGTAATTTAAGATCACACCCCAGCCTGCTTATTTATACCTTATTTTGAGGGAACAAGAAGCCAGATTTGGCAATGGGAGAGTCTCTGGTGGACCTTACCACATACTGACATTCTGGAGGGGTGTGTGGCAGCTAGAAGCACAAAAGTGGTGTCTTTGCAAAATTGTTGTCTCCTGGGAGAGGTGTTGTTCCTAAAGTTCCTCTGACATTTAATTGTGAGAACTCATCTGCCGCTTTGCTTTCAGTGAGAACCATAACCAGCTGACCAATCTTTGCTAAGACCAAGGACTTGTGCATGGAGTGTACCACTATAGGCCTCTGTCACCACTTCCATTCTTGTTCTAGAGGAAACCAACTCAGAATGTCAAGAACGCTCCCTCCAACCCTCAGTCCTGAATCTTCCCACTTACAGTGATTAGTTTTGAAGGACAGTATGTTAAACGACATAAATAATCCCCCTTAAAAACAAAAGGACACAACACACGTTTTCACTTAACCTGTAAAAGCTAAATGGTTAGTCTCGAAGTACTAGGGAATAGAATGATGATTAACAGAGCATGAAAATGGGGTGGGGGAGGAAGTGAAGAGAACATGGTTTATGGGTACAAGAGTGAAGTTGGATAGAAGAGGTAACTTTTTTTGGTGCTGGGTTTTGAACACAGTACCACATACATACAAGTGTATATTGTACCACTGAACAAAACCCCCAGTTTAGAAGGAATAACTATGAAAGTTAACCCATTATGTCAAAGGTAATTGATGGTGGCGCAGGGATATAAATGGGGACTGTGGAGTAATGTATAAGATGAAGAACAAATAGACATATAGATAGAGACAAACATATACACACATTTATGTATATATGCATTTAGTATATATATGTATACATTTACATATATACGGTATATAAGAAGCTAGAATAATGAAACCCACTCAACACTGCAAACAGGAGGTTAAGGGAATGTGATTAAAAAACAAACAGTGGGGGGGAGTTTGGAAGTAGCTCAGTGGTAGAGTCCTTGCCTTGCATGTTGAGGCCTTGGGTTCAATTCCTCAGCACCGCATAAGCACAAAAGACTGAAAGTGACACTGTGGCTTAAGCAGTAGTGCGCTAGCCTTGAGCTAAAGAGCTGAGGGACAGCGCCCAGGCAGAGTTCAGGCCCCACGACCAACAAAATGAATAAATGAATGAATGAATGAATAAATATGTAAATAAAACAAGGGGTGAACTTGCTCAAAGTCCACTGTGTTGTCCACCTATGGAATATAGTAATGAAATCCCCCTGTATTATATACATGTGTGCTAATAAGTAGAAAAAAAATGATTAATTAAATGCCTCAAAATAGCTAGCATAAATGTGCCAGTGGATAGGCCAGCTCTGTGAGTGGATAATTAAACCTTAGACACTCATGTGCCTCTGGTCTGTACCATGCCTGTATCTCACCCCATGAATAGGTAAAGGCCTAGGCAACAATTAAGATAAACACAAACAAAAATACTTAAATAAATTAAAAATGTGAAAACACAGATACTCTTGTTTTCTCTTCTCTCAGGAACTGTGTTTAGCAGAGTTCTGGGCAGAGGCAGACACTGTCTTGATCATGTTGAGGTAGCGAAGTGTAGGTCACCTGCTGCACAATGAGGTGAGGAATTGCACAGGAGCTACAGGGGTCCTGGGGGAAGACTCTATGGACAGTGCTCAGAATTCCCCAGTAGAGCAGATGGAGTGACATTGTGTCCACACAAGTATATTCTGGGGATAAAAAGCTCTTTGAGTAACAGGAGAGGAAAAAGGAGGCCTCTCCCTTTCTGGGATGTTTCACTTTGACAAATTAATTCCTATTTAATTTGTAGCCATTTAAGTTCCCAACAGCCCTGAGCGATGCAGAAGTTAAGTCTGCATGACAGATACTGCTAGTGGGGCAAACTAAGGAAGTGCTGGATGACAATGCAGACAAGTTGACAGAACTAGGAAGTGAACTAACCCTACTGTCAGAGAGACAGGCATAGACCATGCTTCTACATTGATACATTCATACATATATACACATACACACACATATATATGTATACATAAGATTATGCATATATATATATAGTATATATGTAAATATGATTTTCTTGATGGGCATATCTGAAAATCCTGGATCATGAATTATATTTCTTGGTTTTCTCTTCCTGTCTTCACCATCCATTTCTCATCTGTGATTTGTTCTCGGTGGACACAGTCCTCTCTGATCTTGGAGACTGTGTCTGTCCACATCCCAAACAGAAAGAGTTTGGAGATCTCTGGGCAAGCGAATGTTTCCTCACTGTGTTCCTTCACTCTGGGGGACAGGCCGAGCACAAGTGTGGCTGTGAGGACCGGAGCACAGCTGTGGTCAGCGCCAGTTGACACGGTGGCACATGGAGTCCTGCTCACATTCCTCCCGTGTGTTAGCCCAAACATGCTGTGAGATTGCCGTTTAATGGGGCCACACTTGGGAGAAGAATCCTGTGTACTCTGCAGGAACAATTTTGCAACATCTCATGTCTCATTTGCCACATTCTTCAAAGAATCTCATGAATCCAACCTTGTCTTTATAAAGCCAGTTGGCTGCTTGCTTTATTCTGGTTATTCCTTGAACTTGCAGGTTTCTCCTTGCATGGTAGATCTTTGAATAAAGTGTATTTGTGTCTCAACTTTAACAAGGCAAAATTTAAATATGCTATATACTTTGTACACTTAATAATGTTAAGTATAGCCAGGTGCCGATGGCTCATGCCTGTAATCCTAGTAACTCAGGAGGCTGAGCTGTGAGGATCATGGTTCATAGCCAGCCGAGGCAGCAAAGCCCTTGAGATTCCTTTTTTTTGGGGGGGGGTCCGGTTGTGGAGCCTGAACTCTGAGCCTGGGCGCTGTCCCTCAGCTCTTCAGCTCAAGGCTAGCACTCTACCACTTGCGCCACAGAAACACTTCCGGCTTTTTTCTTATGTGGTGCTGAGGAATCGAACCCAGGGCCTTGAGCATGCAAGGCAAGTGCTCCACCACTGAGCCACCTTCCCAGCCCCGCCCTTGAGACTCTTATCTCCAATTAACCACCTGAAAACTGGAAGTGGCCCTGTGGCTCAAGTGGTAGAGCACTCACCTTGAGTTAAAGAGCTCAGGGACAGCGCCCAGGCCTAGAGTTCAAGCCCCACAATGGACAAAAAAAAACCCTAAATATAAGAAAAGAGCCAGTCACAAGGGTAATAAATCATTAATAGATTAGGTAGTGACTTGAGAGCAGGTAGTGACTTGAGAGCAGGTTTTAAACCCTGACAATGTAAGAGTTCACTCAGAACTAAGAATACTAAATGTAAATTCTCCTTGCCAAGAGGTTTTTTTTTTTTTTTTAACTTTACGTGGCTTTATTTTTTTCAGTTAAAATAATGGAATGAAACCACAATATTTCCTTTTTTGTTATTTTGCAGAAAAAAACATGTCTGCAATAATCAAGGAAGTGTGTGATGGGTAAGTGTTGCAAAGATTCTTCTGAAGCATTCAGTCCATACCTTGGCAGGAACATAGAGTATTTCCGCTGGAGGGATAGAATATTATCCATAATCCTGTAAATAAAGGATAACCATAAATCTTATTCATAACTGTTCATGTGACCTACCTAGTCACAAAGAATTACCTTGTGAGAGTTACCCTTCTTTCTCCACCAAAATCTTTCCCCTACTCCTTGAAGAATAGAAAGCATGGAATGGCCGGCTCCATATGTACAGAGGGTTGGTATTATTTCTTTTGAACACTCATGTTCCTTTCATCCTTCCAAGCAGGGAACCTTTAGACTAAATGTTCCTAAGAGTTAAATACACACTCCATCTGACATACACTGAAAGCATCCCACAGGCCCCTGTGGAAGAATTAACAGACAAGTCCGTGGGTAATTGTGTGTTTTGTGGAATTTTCCCACTGACTGACACGCCTTTCCTCCCTCTGGGTTGTTCTAACCATCCTGAGGAAGGGCACATTGGAAAGTCGCATGGTATTTCTTGACTTGTAAAGCAGAACTGTGAATAGAATATTAGGGGAAGTTACAGAAGACTTGCCATACTTAGTGTGTTCCAATCTGTGTGGGGTGAACTGATTGTGAGTTAAAGAATTCAGTGACAATTGGCAATGTGCTAATTCTCGCACGTTTAAATTGCTGCCATTTACCTTGCTATCATTTCTTTGCCTCAATTCTTCAAAATGAAGAATGTTGCCACTCACAATTTAAGTCCGTCCACCCCCAAGCCTTGATGAAATGCTTAGAGGTGAGCAGTAGCCTTGGTCTAGGAACTTCAGAGAGGAAAGGACTGTTGGTCTTAGGGTCTTAGGTGAGTTAAAGCCATTTTCTTTAGAGACCCCATTGTGCCTATTTGAGACTGACTCCATTCTAATCATAGTGAATGTAATTCACCTCACCCCTGGAGAACAAATAAAAATGAAGAGGAGCACTTTTGTTTCTCTGATCACTTATGCTATGTTTTGTAGGTCATCTCTTGCCAACCATGAATGCTTTGCACTGCAACATGCTGACCGTTCAAATTTCTATATTACAGAAAAGGTAGGCCAGTCACATTGTTTTAATCAGGGATGCTTACACTGAAGGACAGTACACAGAGTAAGGGGTTTCTTCTGTGTAGGGCCTAGCATGCATTTTTTATGTCTTTACCATCCATGAAAATAGGGTCTATAAAAAAAATCAGGGCTGGGAAGGTGGCTCAGTGGTAGAGCGCTTGCCTGTCATGCATGAGGCCCTGGATTTGATTCCTTAGCACCACATAAGTAAAACGAAAAAAAGCGGGAAGTGGGGCTGTGGCTCAAGTGGTAGAGCGCTAGCCTTGAGCTGAAGAGCTGAGGGAAAGTTCAGGCCCCATGACCTGACCCCAAGAAAAATAAAATCAAAACAAAAACAGCAAAAAAAACCCCTTCTACTACTTATAAGACAGTAGTTAATCTATTCAAGAGTAAAGACTAAGTATGTTTCTGAATCCTGCTAGCAAATCATATTTCCTTTTTAACAATTAAATATTGCTGGGTTAGAGAATTTACTTTATACTGGATGACTTAAGTTTGTTCTCTTGCCTCAGATTTTTATTTTCTCCTTAATTTGTTTCCCCTGGTCTTGGCCTAGGTGCTGTCTTTGAGTTTCTTGGGCTCAATGCTAATGCTCTACAAATTGAGCTGCAGCTCCCTTTCTGTTTTTTTTTTTTTGTAGTTTATTGGAGATAACACTCTCATTGACTTTACTGCCTGGGTTGGCTTTGAAATGTGATGTAACTAGGATTACAAGAGTGAGGTAGCAGCACTCAGTTTCCCCTGTGTTATTATTTTTTTAAATGCTTAGAAGAGTGACAGGAAATCTTGTCACATGTGGCACTTTATAGTCACTTGCTTATGACTGTTGGAAACCAACTTTCTTCCTGAGTGATCTTCACACTCTTTAGAAAGCTTGAATTTGGAGTGATTTGTGAAGACTATAAATGGACCTAGAAGCAAGGAAACTTAGTACCCAAACGATCTCTGATGGGCAAAGGGGAATCTAGCATTAATAGGTACCAGGCACACTGAGCCAAGCAAATTTATGTTTGCTTATTGATTTTTTTTTTTCGGTTGTGGGGCCTGAACTCTGGTCCTGGATGCTGTCCCCCAGTTCTTCAGCTGTAGACCAGCATTCTATCACTTGAGTCTCAGCCCCCACTTCTGGCTTTTTCTGCTTATATGGTGCTGAGGAATCGAACCGAGGGCCTCATGCATGCAAGGCAAATGCTCTACCACTGAGCCACCTTCCCAGCCCCTGTTTATTGATTTTTTGTTTCTCACAAGTTAATATAATATAATATAATACAAAAACCAAACTATTCAGACGAAGAGAAAACATGCTTCTAAGGAATATCATAGTTATTTTTTGTAAAATCCTGTTTTTTACTGAGAAATTATCTCAAGGCATTACTGGGATTTGAACCTAGGGCTTGACACTTGATAGGCAGGTGCTATACCACTTGAGCCATGTGCCCAGGCCCTAGCCTGAAAATTGTTTTGTTTAGTTTGAAAGGGACAGAGCATCTAAATGTGCTATCAGGTCTCCAGCGGGAAGTAGCAGAGAGAGATTAGAGGCTTGTGTTTCTAATTGTAACCCTGTGTTTGTAAATAAAATGTCATCACTTCCTTTGCAGCTGTTCCTGGTTCTAGCTTTGTGTGTGTTTGTGTGTGACACAGAGCTGGACACACACAGAGCAGGAGAGGCTGGTAAATCTTGCCTCTGTGCAGTGGAAGCTGGCCTATCTTGTAGTATTCTGTAGGTTCATATAGGCTCTTGCAAATATTCCTGAAAATAGAGACCTCGTTCCATTCTTGAATTTCCTCCTTGCTGTCTTCTTGGTTACTTACTGACCAGTGAGTTGTTAGGCAATATTTGTATCACCACGGAAACCAGTGATTCATGTTTGAAACTTGCGTGTGCCATTAGTTGCTGATTTTGACGCATATATGAGGTGGTTTCCCTCCTTCTGTTGGAGAAAAAATTGCTCTAGTACCTCAAAGAGGTGATACTCTCCCACCTTATAGTTATTGATTCTCTTCTTCAATTCATTCTAATATTACCAGGAAGACATCTCCCTTGCTTTTTTCATGTTATCCAAGCTCCTTTGCCGAAAACCTTCATTTGTGTATTGGTCCATGAACTGGAGCTTTTTAGTTCAATGAGAGAAATGGCATGTTAAGTAGCAGTCTACAGAAGTATAGATTTCAAGTAAAAGCCTCAGAGACCAGGAGCTCATGCCTGTAATCCTAGCTACTCAGAAGGAAAGGATCTGAAGATTGCAGTTCAAAGCCAGCCTGGACAGGAAACTTCATGAGATCCTTATCTCCAATTAACCATCAAAAAGCCAGAAGGGGAGCTGTAGCTCAAGTAGTAAAACACTAGTCTTGAGCAAAAAGGCTAAGGGACAGAGCTCAGACCCTGAGTTCAAGTCCCAGGACACACACACACACACACACACACACACACACGCACGCACGCACGCATGCATGCATGCATTAGAGGAAGGTAAAATTTAGTTATATGTAAGTTCAAGTTCTGTTCCAGAAGGTTACTTATTTGGGGGTGATATCTGAGGGAGAAAGGGAGAAAAGGGAGGGGAGGAGAAAGGGAGAGAGAGACAGACAGACAGACACACAGAGAGAATAAAACAGACACGTGTTTCTATAAAATTTGCTTTTTGAGTAAGAATTATAAGGAGAGAATGCTCCTTTGAGTCGCATAGACTTGTGTTATGGTCGCTGTAGCAGAGCAATGAGACAATGAGGTCACAGGTTATTCAGGTCAGAAGTGGGTGGGCCCTGCAGGTCTCTCCTGGAGATCCTCTGTACCACCATCTGGGCAGCATTTGTTTCTGTGGATTACAGCTCAGGATAGCGATTGTCTCAGGAGATTAAATAGAGAAGTTACAGGCTGAGCGTCCTGGTTACCAGTTTCAGGGTATGATTTCTCGTGGGGTGGACACTATGTGGGTGGACGTCCACACTCAGCAGAGATTCACAGAGCCTTTCACTTCCCTTTGTTCTACTTTGGCTGTCTAAGAGCACGTGTGAGTGTGTGCGTGTGTACACACATGTGTACTAATGCCATTCTTGTTTAGCACATGGGAAACTGCCTTGTTTTCTTTACCCTATTTGTGCAGAAAGCTGGGTATCCCAGTATATAGGTCTCAGTGCAGGAAGCACTAGGAGGTTGCATACTTACAGTAATGGAGGCTTTGTGAGGACTGTAGAGCCTGAGAATGCCCAAAGTACTCTCCATCTGACTGATAAATGCCTTCACTTGTCATGGTAGAGATCAGGTGAGCCTCATCCAGGTGCCTCCTGGAAAGCTGAGCTAGGAGCCTTTGGGAAGAAGTGGGGTCCTTTTGGGCTCACCCTCATTTTGTCCTCCCCAACTCCTTTGGTCTACAGGTCCTCAGGCAGCCCTGGACCTTCTCAGAGTCATGGGGAGGACATGACTGTGGGTAGCCTCTGCCTGCACCCCAGACATCTTTGGGTGGGGTTTAGTTCAGTGCTTTGGTTGATTGAGCCTTAAATTAGCAGAGTAAAACCAACCTCCAGAAAGGATTGAAGTGTATAGATGAGGAGGGCGGAAGGCTGGTGCAGGAATTGTGAGTTCCTGTCTGTGCCTCCCTAGGAGAGGAGCTTTGTGATTGGTCAGTTGTGCCCCTGACTGAAATCCCTGTGTATAGATCTTTGTGACCTCCAATCACAGAGCCTTTCCTAGGACAGACATTTTAATTGGAGCAAATAAACCCAAGTCCAGGAAGTTTATAGCTTTCCCAGCTCTGAAATAGTTATTCTTTCTGCCACCAGTTGTAAAATTCGGGATCCTTTGGACAAGAAGTTGCTGCTTCTTCAGTAAACCATACACCTCAGTCAGGTCATGCACAGTCACACCTGCAGGCTGGGCCAGTCCCTTCAGGTCTGGCTTTTGGCAGACAGAGGGGAGTGGAAGCAATGTGCTACAATCCTGGTCCTTCAGCTCCTCTGGGTTTGCTGACTCTTAAGTGTTTCTATCATGTTTTCCTTCTGGTCCTCCTTCCCCTCTTGACACTTCTGTGACTTCGGTCTCCTCTGAAACACATGCCCTTCTGCTGAATCCATTCTCTTATACTTGACCAAGCCTGACGTCTATTATCAATGCTTTAAGGCTGTCCTGTTGCCTGCTTGTGTGTCTGTACCCTGCCTTTGTCAAACACGGGACTTTCCTAGTCAGCCTGCTTGTCTTGAACTTGGTGAGCTCCAGATGCATGGCTTCCAGAAGGAAATGGCCAGGCTGAGAGGGAATACCCACGCATGAATGCATTCAATACAAGCAACTCGATTGATTCCTTATGTGTGCCAGGCTCTGGGCTGAGCTCGGGGAAGAGTTCCAACTTTGCAAAACTGTCACAGACATTTTCCCTGTATTGCTGGATTACAGTGACAGTAAGTGGCACAAAAGGACACATGTGCGTGTCCATCTTAACTGTGTCTGGGGGGGGACATTGAGGCATAGATGAGAAGCAAGGAGAAAGGATAAATGGAGCCTTTAAAGTCATCAGTTGATCAAGGCTAACACTCTACTTCTGGCTTTTTGTTAGTTAATTGGAGGTAAGAGTGTCTAGCTTGGAACCTGAATCCTCATATCTCAGCCTCCTGATTAGCTAGGATTATAGGCACATTATAGGCACTAGTCTATAATAGTTTTGATTCTAAGGAAAAATGGGATCAAGTCATAGTCCTGAAATGTCTGCCTTTAAAAAACCTCTGACTTAGTTCTTTGATAGCTTGGCTTAGGGCTCTGGTAATACACTAGTGTGAGGAAAAGTGTTTATTTCTTCCCACGGAGATGTCTTCTTGATGAAGTGTTTTGCTCAAATGATGTAATGTTAATAAATAGTTATCTAACTTATATCTAGTTATAACTTCCTCTTTACTTCTAACAGGATAAAGTTAGCCCTGATTTTAAATACCAAATGCTTCTAACATATTGACAGAAAAATAAGTTAAAAATGTCTGTCATGTTTTCAGATAGAT